AAAAAAAAAAGGAAACAAAACCAAACCATTTCCTACCTATATCCAGTGCTTGCTTTTTTCAGATCACTAGCCTTGAAATTTGTTAAGAGAAAATACATAGTGTTTTAAATAAAAGAAAACCTGCATCAGACTACAATACATGAGCTGTTTAAACAAACACAGTGCACAATTGGAGGAAGTTTGGTTAGGAGGCAGTTGTTTTTATGTACACGTGGAAGTCACATCATATACCAACTGAAAAACAGGGAGAGATAGTTTGCATTTTCTCACAGAAGGACTGCAAATAGGGGTCCCTACAGCTTTCTTCATAACCAATCCTCAAGAGACTCTGTGAAACAGGAAGAAGCAGTCACAGGAGGTGGCTGTTCCAAAGTTACCTTTACAGCAGGTGTATGAGCCTACAGCTGATGGAAACATGAGAAGAAAAGATGGGCAGAGCAGCACAGGGCCTTTCCCTGCTGTGGGGCCAACAGGATCCATCCATGCTCCCCCTCCTCCCTCCCACAGAAAGGAACTGGTCACTAAAAACACCACAGATATTTTTCTGGCCATGCACGACACTTATGTTCAATGTTCTAGAAAGCTGGAAATGGGCATATCAATCCTTACCCAGCTGTTGTGTAAAGTGCATCATCAACTGTTTTGCTAATGGAAGAAACAGGTGTTTGTTACTAATGATACCCCCCCTGCTGGGCCGTTTTTCCCTTATGTGACAACACAGGTAACTCTATTTTAATTTTTTTATTTTGCCCACAAATAAAATTAAGGGAAGCCAAATAAATTTTAAAAACCAGCCGACATGAAAGAAAAGCAGAACTTCCCATGTCCTGACCACCCCGTTCAGCCTTAAATACCAAAAATCTAATGGCAGAGCTGTACAAAATTCCCACTAGAAACATCTGGAATATGAAGGAATGTTTCAATTGCAAAGTAGACATTTAAAGTGAATAATATCATCTTGTTAAAATCTAATCTTTGGTTTTTTTGCCTTGGGAAAGGCTCAAAATGACAGACAAGGGGCAGGAATTTCCATATATACCACAGAAACTGCAGCCTGCTGAAGTGAGTCGTTCCACTGATTTTGGTAAATACTCTGATAGAAAGTGTTTCCTGAATCTTGGCCTTTTCCTATGCTTTTGCAATGTTCAGCTGTTCCTAAGTCACTACTATTACTATTTTAGCCATTTCAAGCTGTGGGAATTCACCAGTGAAACACAGTAGTCAAGTGGACAGAAGACTCAGCACTGAAGAGTATAAACTATAACTTACATTGAAAATAAAAATGTTTTCATTAAAGCTGTTCAGTGCATTTGCTATGAGACATTTGCATTAAAAACAATCCCTCCTGCTGGTGGCATAACCAAATCAACTAGGGTAAAAATACTCCTGGCCCAAATTTTGGAAGTGTTGAATACCCCCCAGTTCCACTGAAATCGGTGAGGACACAGCATTTCTCAAAACCACTGATGCTCACACAGCAACACACTACTACTAACAAACTCAAGACACTGATAAAGTAAAAAACTCCTGGAGTTGGGAGGTGGGGAGGGTGGGAGGATGTAAGTTTGCACGCAGTTATTTTGTTAGATATACATGCACACATTAGTAACTGCAGATGTGTTTCAAATTTGGTGCTGTTAATTCTGGGCAGGAATTCTCCTTAGAGAAGGCAAAACCATTTGAAGTGATACTGAAATCAGACTACATTCCTGTGGACATGGAGAAACGCCACGGGTTTGGGTTTCTTGGTGCCAAGGACGGGCCTCTGGAGGTGATGTTTTAACCACTGAACTTCTGTGCCAGGGAGGGCAGGAGGGGAGGGGGCAGAGCACAGCGACACGGCCTTACAGGAGGTATTTGCGCCTGGTGTCCTCGTCCAGAGTGAGGTCCACCACTTCTGGGGGTGAGGACCAGTTCTGCTGGGGAGCCACTGCTGTCCACGGCTGCGTGGGCTGGACGCTCCCAAATGGCGAGCTGCGCTTCCAGGAGGACACGCTTTGGATCACCCCTCCCCTAGGATGCACACACCTGCAGTGAGGAGAGGGACACACACACACAGCATCAGGGATACTGCTCAGCTCAGCCATGACATCCCCTCCTCCAGTGTTTTATTGTTTTCCGGTTAGCACTTCCCTCTCCAAACTGGATTCTCCACTTGTAGAGTCCGTGGCATCTCAAACACACTAAGCTAAATTTAAATTTGGGGATTAAATTATTTTAAAGGAATGCCAGTGAGTGTCACGTGATCCTCCTTGAAAAATATGTGCATGGATCCCACGGATCTTGAGGAAGCCTGCCCCACCATGTGTAGTACCATGCAGTTTCCTGATGGAGCTTTACCCATTGGAATTTTTAAAAAGAGAAAAATCTGAAGTGAGGCTGCCTAAAAGAAAATGAAAAGCTATACTTCAATATTAAATCAAAGTCATATTAAAACAAGGAGGTAACGATACTTTCACTACAATAATTGCAAAAGAGATCTGGCTAATTATTTTATTACAGCCATTACATCTGAATTTTTTTTGTTTTGGTCTTTTAAACTGAAAATTACAAACATGCTGGGAAATGCTCACTGACAACAGTTCAGCCCCACTTCAGCAAAACATTTAAGCTCTGAGACAGCCAATGAGACTAAAAGGTGTATTTGAAGATAAGGCTCCAGTGCCCTACTGAAGAGCTATACCCAGGTACCTTTCACACAGCATTTTTACTTATTATATCTGCAGTAGATACATGACAAATGAAGCACATGTTAAGAGCAATTAGAAAAAAAAAAATGCAAAATGAAAGGTAGAATAATTTTTTGTATGAAGAAGTGATTACAGGAATTTACTAGAGGCTTTGGGATGGTCACTCCATTTCCAGCTGTAAATCCTACACAGGCGCTAATAAAAATTGATACCTAGTGCTCCAAAAATTGTTTTGCTCCTGTAAGCACTAGGAGTGGCTGTGACTCCTCCTGGCTGCATGGATAAACACAAGGTGCTCTGGCTGCTGGGGTAACCTTTTCCCATTTCTTTGTGAAGGCACATATATTTCAGGAACTCAAATTTCCTGCACTGGTCAAATATCCCTGACATTTACATTTTATTTATTCCAATTTAAGTCTGTGCTATTTATTTTCTCCAAAACTACTTCAGTTATGCTCAGCTGTCTTGGTTCTGGTTGGAATTTCATGAAATAGAATGAAAAATCTAGTTCTCTGAGCTGTAACTTCCCTGAATATAAATGTCTCATTGCCTTCTCAGATACGCTCCTTAGGCTTAGATGTAATGTTCAGAATGACTCTTTTATTACTTCTTCTGTCATAAAAACACATACTTAAAGTATTTATCTACAAAGAATTAGCAATAAGACCCTGTAAGTCTAACAAATGTATAGGATTCTTTTCTTTTAAAGCTTTATTTTAAGGACAACTATTTTTAAGCTTAACTGGCAAGAAAATCTTGTAGGCAGAGCAAATTAAATAAGGTGTTTGGTCTCAGGGACTGTGGTGCATCATTCTGAGAACAGTCCTCAGTGTTTAGACTAACTTTTCTTCCTGAAGATTATGAAAACCAAGCCATAAATTATCTCACAGAAAAGATATCTCTGAAAAATAAGTGTTTATCCTCAAACTACCAACACAAGCAGCCAACAGCAAAACATTCAGTCAAACATGTGCCCAGAACATTCTTCCAATCTACAGCTAAGGGAAGATACCAAGTAAAGACAATAAAAAACCCCAAAAAACCTCGTACGAAAAACTAGAGGAAGACTGATTTATATGCATGCATGATTTACAAAATTCTACTGGTGAAAAATTAAACAAACTGAAAAATGACTTGATGCTCTAAGTAAATGCCAAGGAATACCCCAGCGATGAGAAACAGCACCAATTCATTCAGAATCTGAAGAACTGCAAACAGTGGACAAAATCCAGGGTTTCACAACTCACACCAGCCCAACGATGACACGGAATAGGGAGCATGATAAAAACCAGGATCCAAACACCACACTCACTAAGCATGCAGAAAATACTAATCAAAAACCTAGCCCTTATCCAAACAACAGCCCTGCCAGAAGCCCATCAATACTTCATAACTGCAAGCCTAGACCTGAACAAGAAATAAAACTCTAAATAGGATTCAAACAAGTGAAATGTGCAAGTGAGTATTCAAGGGAGGCAGTAAACACTGGTCTGCAGCTTACTGGCATAGGAACCAAGGAAAGTATCGAAGAGTGCTTTTAGTCTGATTTGCTGAAATTATTTCAGTCCATATATACTAAAACTAATTTTAAACAGCAACTCTGCATTTAGCTAATGTTTAAATTCCTATAGAGGGTGAGTATTATTGAGGCAGCAGCATGGAAAGCTTTCAAAGAGGGGACAGAAGCACAAGGGTCCTGTGTGCAGTGCTGCACAGATTTACAGCAGCCAGTGCTGGAAGGTGAATCCACACCCCTCACCATCAGCACAAAGACCCTCCAAGCCTTGGGCTCTGCTGCATAAACAACCAGGAGAGCTGCTTCCTAAGGAATTACCATCTTCCCAAAGAGTTGACCATGCAGGGACTTTCCTACTGTTCTAAAAGATAATTCTAAATCCCCTTTCTGGATCTGAAAATTTCCTTTTTTTCCACATCCAACAGCACTGGGCTGTCCCTGCATTATCCATGCCTGGGAAATTGTGTCCTGAATCAATAAAGATGCAGTGAAGGGACAAGGAACTCTCTTCCATCTTCCTCACACCCCTCTTCTGCCTCCAAGCACCCACTAGGCAGCAGAACATTTTGGAAGGAGCTTGTCTATGTACTATTTTAACTCAGTTTTATTCCACCAAATTCACACTCCACACTATTAAAAAAATGTCTATTTTGTTTAACTGCTTCATAATATTTAAAGCCAAGGAAAGACCACAGACTAAAAATGAAGAATAATTTAAAAAAATTCCTACCAAGAAGAACAGTTGAACAGGTTTCAGAGATAAACCTCTGGCATCCATACTCTTATCTACTTTGACCTCTCTTGAATCTTGAAATAAACCCAAGATTCAAAATGATCTGATTTTTAACCTAAAGGGGATATCTGATGACATTAGTCACTGAAAAAATTATAGTATTTTTACTCCTACTAACTAATTAAATAAAGTGGAAGCTGATAAAAAAACTTAATATTTTGAAAGGAAATAAGAACCCACATAAAGATTTTCACTTAATTATTTGTATATTCACGTATTCCTTTAAAATCTGCTGATGTATTTACACTTATTATCTCAGTGTTTGGTATTTTTATACTATACATCTTCAGCCAGTTAATGTTTGATATTGAAACACATCTTTCATCTGAATAACTATCAAGTTGGTCACTTTCTAAAGAAAAACACATTCTGACACCATAACCAGCAAAACAAAACAAAACAAAACAAAACAAAACAAAACAGAACAAAACAGAACAAAAAAAGAAGTGCAACATTTGTTGCCTTTTGGGCATCACTCATGGATGGGTAACTACAGAAGTGAAGGCCAGCAGTTCTTTCCTTATTGATTTTGGTACAGACATTCTGATAAAATGAAATTAATATTAGAGCAAGAAAAATAATTCATACCTGGCATGTTCCTGAACTCCAACAATCTCTACTTCACTATCAGAAGAGGCAATGTTAATTTCTTCATTGGCCTGAGCATTGCCACAAGAGGTTTTGTCACCTGCAAGGAAGCCTGGATCCAAATGACCTAAGAGATGGGGAAAATGGGAATACAGGCAGTGTTTAACAGCTTACATGACTCAGAAATCAGCTAGCAAATGAGTTTCTCAAACTAACAAAAAAAACTAAACAACACCAAGATTAGAAAATCTCATTAGACCAAGTTTTCAACTCACAGTTAATTACTTGATACAGGAAAACCACTGGATTTAGCCAGTGTCAGCACCTCTGGTGATGGTGCTGTCACACAAATGTGAACAAAGCCTGACTGTTGCACCAAGAACAACCAGAATTTCCAGCTGAAATGTTGTGACAGTCAGACAGACAGACTCTATGACAAGAGTCACATTGTCCCTAAACCTCCTTGACATTAAGAAACAAAACAATCTCAGCAAACACAATGATACTATAGCAAAAAAAAAAAAAAAAAAAAAAAAAAAAAAAAAAAAAAAAAAAAAAAAAAAAAAAAAAAAAAAAAATCCTATAGACTGGACAGAAACATCTCACACATCAAAGAAAATTAATTCAATTTCTTTAAATAAAAACTTGAGGAAACTGGTTAGTGGGTTAGTGAAAAAATACAGTAAACCCATCAGTTTCTCACAGTGCTGCTTTACACATCTGTTATAACAGTATTACAAATACTTGAAAAGAAAAAGTGGTTTTAAGTCCCATATGCAGCAGGCTGTTTTTTCATTACAGTTCCTCACTGACATCCAGTTTTTCAATCAGTCAAACCACAAGCTCTCTCTAAATACTCACAGCAAGTGTGGCACATTTTTGCCTTTTCTGCCAAGTACTGCTAAGAAGGTTCTTCACCCCAATTAGTGAATGTGTTGAGTCATACAGGAAAATACTTACACAAGAAACACAAAGCAGCCAGAATTATTATTTCTCTCACAGAAAATATATTAATTGAAAAATCAGTTAATTATAAGATATAAATTCTACTCTTTTTTTCCCCCCAAGGAAAAAGAGAAAATTATTAATTCCACTATCTATCATTAGCCTGAGGGATGCTAGGCAGCCTTGAAGTAGCTGATACTTACTACCTACTTCTGAAAATCACTTGGTCAGCTGTACTACACAGGGGAAGAGATATTTGTTGAGCAGGAAATTTGACAGTAGGTGAATATTTTATGTGTATCTAGTTTGAGTGGACACCTCTTCAAAGATGAGAGAAGGAGAAGAAGCAATAATGATCCACAGGATTTCAAAGGTGTGTGAACAAGCAGAAGTGATTATACCCCCAGGGACGTTAAAAGGAAACAGATGAAATTAAACTTGAAACAAGTGTCAGAGAAACTTTCTAGTGACTGCTTTAAGCACTTGGGAATGATGCAAGCAAATAGAATCATAGAATGGTTTGAGCTGAAAGGGGCCTTAAAGCCCATCCAGTGCCACCCCCTGCCATGGGCAGGGACATCTTCCACCAGCCCAGATTGCTCCAAGCCCTGTCCTACCTGGCCTTGGACACTTCCAGGGATCCAGGGACAGCCACAGCTGCTCTGGGCACCCTGTGCCAGGGCCTGCCCACCCTCCAAGCCAGCAATTCCTTCCCAATAGCCCATCTGTCCCTGCCCTCTGGCAGTGGAAGCCATTCCCTGTGTCCTGTCCCTCCATGCCTTGTCCCCAGTCCCGCTGCAGCTCTTGTGTAGGAACAGAGACCATGTTGTATGTTCAGTTTTTGGAAAGCCAAGACCCTTGATGATTGGAGCGGGTTAGCAAGGGAAGGAAACACATGTACTGTCAGGTACCTGAAGGAGGAATTTCCACCTCACGAGACAAAAAAATACTGGTCAGCTGAACTTAAAACAAATTAATAGCCTAGACTGTCTCTTCCTAGTATTGCAGTTGAGATGAACTGCAATGTTGGCAAACATCACCGACTGCCAGAAAGCCCAAAAATAGGTCATGAGTATTTCTTTAAATGGCTGGGCAGAGTGTGAAACATGAAAGTGCTCAGAGGCTTTAATTCACTTGCCAGGGGCTTCACAGTGCCAGAGGGCAGGGTTGGATTGTACATAGGGGAGAAATTCCTCTCCAGGAGGGAGGGGAGGCCCTGGCACAGGTTTCCCAGAGAAGCTGTGGCTGCCCCTGGATCCCTAGAATTGTCCAAAGCCAGGTTGGACGGAGCTTGGAGCAACCTGTGATTGTGGAAGGTGTCCCTGCCCATGGCAGGGGGTGGAATGAGATGTCTATATTATATAATATCATAAAATACCTATTAATATAATATGTATTGTTTCACTGCCCAACCACCCTTCATTATATTGACAGGGTAATGTCTGGCAAAGGAGCAAAGCAGACCAGCTCCTAGAGAGCCCCAAAAAGTATCTCTACAGGTATAAATTGGAGTCCTAAAAGAGCTTCCACACATTCCACCCTAGCTTAAGTTCAGACAAAAACACAATTAGCAGTAGCAAAATCATGATTAACAGAATAAATACTGCAAGAGTAGCTGAGTATTAATCAGGATTATAGCACAGACAGATAGATTTACAGCCTCTGGCCATACAAATTTCATGCCTAATAACATGCCCACGCTGTTAATTTATTTGCACAAACATTAGGATGACAGCCAGAGTGATGTTTTGCTTGCCCTACACCACCAGGGCTTGCAAAAGAGCCCCAAATATTTGCCCATGCAGAAGGATACGTATTAAGATACTAGTGTAGTAAGATCTTTCACTTTGATAGAGCTCCTTATGTTGCTCTTTTCCCATGGGAACACATTCTTTTGCTAAACAAAATGCTGTCTGAAGATTACACTTGTGAACCAGATACAAGATTTGAAAATTCTGCTTGCCCAATGTGCAAGCCCAGACCTGGTAGGAAAAGGCCAGCACTGGCCAAGGTGCAGTCAGATGTGTACTGAGGCTGCAGGGTAAGGTGTATGCATGAGCAAACAGAAATTCATCTTTTCAGCTGCTGACATGGCTATAGCACCAGGACCAAATCAATATGAACATTCCGAGAGATGAAGAAATCTCTTGAAGTTTCCAGTTTTCTTTTACCTGCAAGTCCCCTTGGATATACATGGAGGAAGGAAAAAAAATCCTACCTGCACTGCAGCATTTTAAGTGGAAGGAAGCTTGGTAAGAAACATTACTTTTTATTTCCTTACATTCATTTGATGTACTTATCCACTACTACTATGTAATACAGGTGATTTCAGCTGATCTAATTGTTTAATAAATCCCTTAATAAAGGACTGGGATTGCTAGGGGTTAAATAGCTATCAGTCAGCTGCTGTCCTGCAAAAAATTCCAGTGAGCTTGGAAAACAAAGGCAAGCTTCAAAAAGGCTGGAACAACATCCAGCCATGGACCACAGTGAAAATAATGCACAGAGATTCTCATACTCAAATGGTGGACTTGTAATGGAGCATCTCTTTACAAAGCATCACCTAATTGTGTTTCTTTAAGGCTTAGAGACAATGAAAAGCATCTCAGAGCCACCACAACACTCCCTATGTGGGTGCCCTGTGGCAGGAGACCTTAGGGAAACAGCACGAAACACAAACCTGTTGTGCTCCACCAGACAAGACCTATATGTCTAATACAGCCTGAAAATCCTAACATAGGAGTTAAGAAAAGGAGTGGAAAGGAAGTAAAACGTTGGCATAAAACATGGGATTATGGGATGAAGCTGACAGAAAATGATCCCTGATGACATCCAAAACACTGTCCAATTTTTTAAGGGGTATTGGAAATGCAGATGGAATATGGGAAGAATTAATGATTGAATTTTAGAGATATAAAGAGACAAAAGAAAATTAAAAAACAAACAAACAAA